GTCAAGTGTAGTTTTTCTTGATATTTGCAGAATACAAAGGATAGAATATATAACAGTAAAAGGTAAGCAAGAAATCTCCACTTCCTTCCCCCCCCCAATTCATTTTTATATTAATCTATTCTGTCTGAAAGAGTATTAATTAGGTGAGACTAACTAGTGAATATGAAGGTTTGAGTATAAAAGCCACAAGATACAGACCTTCCTGTTGCTTATTTTAATGACTCTCAGCAGGTGAGATGACTACAATTTAAAAACAAACAGAATAGACAGAATGAATCCTGTCTGTGTTCAAGGACAACGAACCTTAAAACAAGGGAGGGTTAAGGTTTAAAAAGTGATCCCTATTCAGGTAGTACCTCTGGGAAGAAAAAGATGATCTTTCAGGATCGTTTTCTTAGAGTCAGTGATTCTTTGCTTACAGATCTGATGGCAGTAAGATGAAATGCTGCAGAAAAGCTTTTAGTAAATATTAATCCGCATTTTTAGCACAGTAATGTCCACTGATGGACAAAATTGATTGTTTTCCAAGAATGCTATAATAATATTGTTTACTGGCAGAAACAGTTCACGTTAAGAGAATATGGGAGATAATTCATAGAAAGTGAACTTTCAGTTTTGTAATTACAGGAATACTCTCTGGAAGCATAATTCCAGGAGTTGTGTTCATCCACTCAGACACTGAGTCAACTGTTTTACAATGTTGCCATTAAAAATATTTCACAAACAAGCCATAAGCCCAAAATTATTTAAAGTGATCACAGAATGAACATATAAATGGTACCACCGTATTCTTCCTGTGACTGATCCACAGCCAGAAAAAAAAAAAAAGATTTCACGTTGTTTTGTCACCAAGTACTTACTCCTGTTAAACTTCATCCAAAAGCCTTATATAGATCACATAACAAAACTGCAAAGCAGCTATTCCTTAGACTGAGAGAAGGTCTAAAAAAGCATTTTCTTTCTTATAAATTACCCAGACCTACAGAATAGCATCTTTCCTAGAAAAAGAGACAGAAAGCCTCCATCTCAAAGTACCTTTGGGCTTTTATATCAATAAACTGCAAGAGTCTACAACCATTTTCTGTCCCTGAGGTGTAGCATGATTCACAGCCAGATAACTCAACTCTTCCTACTACCCCCCAAAAAATGTGTCCTTGTCAAAACTGCCTATAGGAACAGCCCCTCAGCTGCCTCTAATGCCTTCAGTGGCATTTGGGGGAGAGTGATCAGGAGCACAGGCCAAAAGCCATGCCAGAAACCATGCTAGGAGTATGAACCAAGAGAGGGTATGAACAGTACCCTGGCCCTCTTTAGCTCACTAGGAAAGTCCCAACCAGATAGAAGATTCACCAAGTCTAATCTGACACTCACTGAAGGCAATGGAAGAAGTGATCTCCACGCTGGTGCAGGGTAGATGAAGCATATCCAGAGTAAACTGTGTGCTCCTCCCCTTGTTGTGGGTAGCTGAGCTAACCTTTCTAAGCCTGCAGCAGAACAAGAGACCCTAGGTAAATCATAACCTTGATCCCTGAGCTATGCCCATCCCTAAGGACTGTTTTATGTCTTTTCAGCAGTAAATGTCCTGCTTGGGTTTTTTACTGCTTTCCTCCTAGCAACGATAGCTTCTAGCTACGTAGAAGTCCCAGTAGTTACTTAGCACGAGGCAGTAAGCCGAACAGAGTGTACCTGCTCTTTGTGCCTCAATTCTCTCCCCGTTGAACAGAAATGTGAGAAGAACCAGGAGATGGGGCACGCGGCATCTTCCCGTAATGGACATATCCGTATCTCCTTGCTCACATTAGCTTATCTTTCCTCTCTGGCGAGAAGCTCGCTAGAAATCCAATCCGTAGCCTAGAAAGGAAAATAGAGAGCAAGTGTTATCTCATAGAAACACAAAAAGCAGTAATGATGCAAGTCGTGGGAGCAACGTTGTGCAGAGTTGTCTCTTCCGCCTGTCATTTTACTTGACTAGACACAAACCGCTCAGACAAAGGGGCAGGAGTCCACCTACTTTTCAAAAGCTATAGTCTTTCATTGGCTCTATTCAGTGTGCAGCAGCCTGAATGGAAACAGGAGAGAGATTACCAGATTATTATACTTTCATTGAGCCCACTGCCAACTACACAATCAATGCACTGGAGTGGAAACCATTCTTCACCTGGTCCTCCCACGCGTTCATGATTAGGAGATACACAATGCAGAGCCGAGATACAAACCACTGCAAATCACACGCAACCGGTTGCCTCTTCACCCATGGCTGCTTTCAGTTCTGGAGCCTCAGAAATGACAAACACTAAAAATACGTATTTGTTGTCATCAGTCCTTCTCTATAGGAGTAAACTCAGCAGCTTCAAAACACATCTTTCAACTATTTAGTTTAAAGAAGTAGCTCAGGTGGATGATCTTCGATTTAAAGTCATCAGTTTGAGCTTACCTTAACTGAAACCACTGAAGTCAGCCAGTATTATTAAAAAAACAGGCAAAGAGGCTGGGCTGTTAAAAGTTTAGTTATGTTTTTTAACATTAGCTCAGTTTTTTTTTTTTAATTTTATTACTTACTTATTGCTGTTGGTTTATTATTTTTTATTAGATCATAAAATCATTGCAGTTCTATCTACTGTGTATATACACACAGGAGAAAACAGTTTCCACTC